GGTTTTGTCTCCTTTAACTTGGGTAAAAATTTAAGTTGTTCTCTGGGTCACCATTCTGAGTATAAAAATGGCATTTTACTCGCGAAAGGAAAGAGGATTTGGTGTCACTCGCCGAGGATTTGTATCTTACTATCGAAGCAGGTATCACAAAATTGAAGTTAAAGGAGCTGATCGTAAAAAGCCAGATTACGTTGAAGACGATGTTAAAAAGATGCTTGATAGCATAGTGGAGGAACGTACAGAAAGGGCTGAGAGAGAAAGAGGCTGAGAGAGAGAGGCGCTGAGAGAGAGTGATATGCGAAAGGATGAGAGAGAAAGACGATAGTACGAATTAGAGAAGTTGCGAATACAAGCGCAACAGACTGCCGGTATGCCGAATAACACCGAAAACATTCAAGCATCGAATAAACTGTTTCACGAAACTTTTCATAAGTTTAATATGGAGGAAGATATTGGTTTGAATCTTACCTTATTTGAGCGTCATGCAGAACTAACTTCCTTACCGAAAAAAGATTGGGTTCAAAAACTTATAGTTTAATACCCGTCGAAATTGCCCATCTGATCGCAGAAACCAACTGGTAAGTGTAACGATTACGATCATATAAAGAAGTTGCTCTTACAAAGATTTAAATTATCTCTCCGGAAAAATTTCGTCAGTTATTTTTGTTTCACCAAAAAGTCCGATGAACGAACATGGCAAGATTTTCAACACGAATTACAGACGTATTTTGATGGATGGACTTTGGGCTTAAAAGTTAACACCTACGACAATTACGAGAATTAATCATAGCCGATCAAATGAAGAAGAGGGCGCCGTATGATTTTCAGGAACACTTTTTGGACGAATGGTCTACTATTAACTCATCTATTGAGCTAGCGAAAAAATTTGAAGATTATGAGGACGTCCGAAGAACTATAGGCCAAAGCAGTTAAACTCATTTGCTAAGAGATCGAACAATAACGATAATTGTTCTCGAAGGCAAGAACGTTTTCACCTTGAAATAATTGGAATGACAGAAAATGCTTTCAATCGACGAGAACTTACGATAAAAGAGTTAAACAGGTAACATGTAGCTACTGCAGGGACCAGGTCACTATGCGTAGATGCAAAGAGCGCAACAAGGGTACGAAAATCAATAAATCTTCAAGCTCTCCGGTCCAGATCTGTTCTCGAATTCAGCAAGACAGAATTAAGACCAGGAAAATAACCATCGGAAACAAGACTTTTGAGGCTCTAATCGACACTGGAAGCTCAGTTTCGCTCATTCGTGAAGATGTAAGCAAAGGAATCATCGAGCAATCGAAGCTCTCGAAGGACATTGTCGTGTTATCTCGATTGGGAAAGTACGAAGTCAAAACAAAAGGATCGTTCCAACGAGAAATCGAATTGGATGCAGAGAATATTCCGTAATATGCATGTCGTGCCTGCGGTGCATTTGGAGTTCCAGGCAGTGATAGGATCGGACATTTTGGAACAAGCTTTTGTTGGCTTTGATAAAAAAGGTGTTTATTTCCGTAAACACGAAGAGAAGGTTGGTTTGTGAATACACAGGTTTATGAGGCAAAACTGAAGACGAAATCGAAGTTAAACATGTTATCAATCCTCTAATAAGAAAGGAACTCTCTGAACTAATCAACAGCTATACACCTAAGAAGACCGAAACGACAAATGTGTCCATGAGAATTATCCTGAAGGATGATATACCAGTTTACCAAACAGCACGCCGTTTGTCGTTTCTGGAGAATCAGACCGTCAACAAGCAGATCGACGAATGGTTGGATAAGGGAATCGTGAGACCAAGCTCTTCTGAATATGCAAGTCCAATCGTGTTAGTCAAGAAGAAAGACGGTACCGACAGACTATGCATTGACTATAGGAAACTGAACCGAAAACTAGTCAAGGATCGCTTCCCCTTGCCACTGATAGAGGACGTATTGGATAGGCTGCAAGACGCCAAAGTGTATTCCACGTTAGACTTGAAAAATGGGTTTTTTCATGTCGACGTAAACGAGGATTGCAAGCATTTCACCTCCTTTGTTGTACCAGACGGGCAGTTCGAATTTAATAAGGTACCTTTTGGTCTCAGTACAAGCCCAAGCGTATTCCAAAGATATGTGTACAGCATTTTTAGGGAACTCATGCGAAAAGGCATCGTAATAATTTATTTGGACGATTTGATCGTTCCAGCTAAAGATGAGGAAGAAGGTTTGGAAAAACTAAAGAAGGTGTTTGAGGTCGCATCCAGATATGGGTTGGAGATCAAGTTTGAAAAATGTCAGTTTTTAAAACGAAAGGTGGAATTTTTGGGTCACGTTGTCGAAAATGGAACGGTGCGCCCTTCAGTTGCAAAAACGATAGCTGTCAAGAGGTTTCCTGTACCAACGACTGTCAAACAAGTCCAAAGCTTTTTAGGACTCACTGGCTATTTTCGAAAATTTATTCCGTCATACTCTAAAATAGCGAAACCTTTGAGTGATTTAATTAGAAACGACAATTGATTTGTCTTTGAACGACTTCAAATAGAAGCATTTGAAAAGCTCAAGCAATTATTGACTGAAAGTCCAGTATTAAGTATTTTCCAGCAGGGAAAAACAACCGAATTGCACACGGATGCAAGTCAACAAGGCTACGGAGCCGTCTTACTCCAAGAGGCAGAAGATGGAAAATTGCATCCAGTTCAATACATGTCTAAGAAAACTACTCCGGCAGAAGAGAAGTATAGCAGCTATGAACTTGAAGTTCTTGCTGTTGTCAACGCTTTAAAGAAATTTCGTACCTACCTTATGGGAAATCATTTCAAAGTCATAACGGATTGCTCAGTGTTTCAAAAGACTATGGACAAAAAGGATTTGGTTACTCGTATAGCGCGATGGTCATTATTGCTGGAAGAGTTTGATTATGAAATTGTGCATCGTTCCGGCCAGAGAATACAACATGTGGAATCCCTTACTAGATATCCAGTCGCAATAATTACTAACGATGCTTTAACCGTAAGATTAAAAAGGGCACAACAAGAGGATGAATACACTCAGAGTCTAAGGTCACTGATTGAAACAAACAGCAATTCAGACTTTTTCGATAAAAACGAAATACTTTACAAATATGTTGAAGGTCGTGAATTGATAGTTGTACCAAGAGATATGCAAACTGAGATAATTAAGTTAGCACATCAGAAGGGACATTTCTCCGTTGCCAAGACAGAAGGAGTTGTGAAACAAGAATTTTTCATTCCCAATTTGAGCAAGCAGGTGCAAAATGTAATTGTTAACTGTGTGCCATGTATTTTGACCAACAAAAAGAGTGGTAAAAAGGATGGATTCCTCAACCCCATTCCTAAAGAGGATGTGCCATTAAGTACTTATCACGTCGATTTTATCGGACCTTTGCCTTCTACTAATAAGAAATATCAGCATATTCTCACAATAGTGGATGCTTTTACAAAATTTACCTGGCTTTATCCCGTTAGATCTACTTCCGCAGAAGATGCTTTGGATAAATTAAAATTGCAACAAAAGACTTTTGGTAATCCCAAGAGAATAATAACAGATAGAGGTTCTGCTTTTACTTCTGGAGCTTTTGGAGATTATTGTACTAATGAAAACATTCAACATTTGCAAATCGCCACCGGAGTACCCAGAGGGAATGGCCAAGTCGAGAGAATACACCGAACTATTATTCCCGTTTTGACCAAGCTGTCAATTGAGGAGTCTACCAAGTGGTTCAAGTTCGTAGACCAACTTCAAAGAATTTTAAATAGTACATTTAATCGTAGTACTAAGTGGTCTCCATTTGAATTATTAATTGGTGTCACCATGAGAAACAAGGAAGACCTTCGCCTGAGAGAGTTACTGATGGACGAAATGATGGAGGAATTTCAAGAACAGAGGAACCAATTACGACAAGATGCAAAGAAAAATATCCAGAAGATACAGGCAGAGAATAAAAGAACCTATGACAGGAAGCGCAGGAAGGCCCCTAACTACCAGATGGGTGACTTGGTGGTCATTCAGAGAACACAATTTGGGACAGGTTTGAAATTAAGGCCTAAGTTTTTGGGACCATATAGAATAGTTAAAGTAAAACCTAGAGATATATATGTTTAGAGAAAGTGGGTGATCATGAGGGACCTAATATAACAAATTCATCTGCTGATTTAATGAAATTTTACACGCCATGATGATGTATTTTAATAAAAAGCGTTTTCAATTCTTTTTAAAAGAACATAATGTGTATTAATGTGTTTTGCTTTCTTTGCTATTAATATTTCTTTTTTAGAGTTGTATCCTTATTTTCAAATTTGAATGTCTATATTGGAATTTTTATCTCCGATTAATATTAATTTTGCAGAGGCCTATATTTTATTGTATGGGTATGTAAAATCACTGAGGTCAGTGATTCCCAGGATGGCCGAACTTGTAGGAAAGGAGTGCAAGTTTTCTTTTACTTCTTTTGATTTTTATTGTAAGAGATGGCACCACTAATCGAAACCACGTGAGTTTTAGCTGCGCGATACGATGAGATTATGTATTTATAAAGGTGGCAGAAAGAAGAAACTGGGAGTTGCACCAAAGCTTGAACGAAGGCAGATCAGAGGAAATCGCTCTCTCCGTTGTTTTGAGAAAGAGTACGTGTTTTCGGAATTAGTATGGTGTTATCTCGAATAATTTAAAACCCCTTGTAAATAGTTAATGTTTTAGTTGTGTTATTAATAAATTAATTTATTTTAACTCTGCGTGCTTATTTTAACATTAAAATCGAACCTTCCCCTAGACGCCGTCCCACATATATATCTTGTTCCAATTTTCAATCGTCAATAAAATAGTTTCTATTCTCATCCATTCAAGTTCAAATACATTTTTTAACTTGTAGTGGATGACACTTGATGTTAGTATAGTTTTTTCAAATATTAATTCTTTAATTAAATTTAAAAAATGAATAAATAGTAACAAACAAAAATAATAGTCCAAAAGCATATATTGAATGGAAAATTGCTCGTTGTGTCCCAATAGAGCAATAGATAGCACGTTGAACTCCTAATTCAAACGTCGTGGGTTTCGAATCCCATCTGGGATGGCCTGATTTCTGAGAGTGTGACTTATTTTTTACTGTAGTATTTTATTTGAATAATTAAATTTAATAAATGAATAAATAGTAACAAGAAAACAAAATTGTCCAACACCATATATAGAAAGTAAAATGGAAAATTACAAGGAAAATCGCTTTCTATATATTGTCACCTAATATTCTGATTTTGTCACATGTATATACATATTTATATTAATTGGAACTATTTAATAAAAAGTAACTAAAATAAAAATTTCCTTTTTTGACTTAATTAGGAATTGACTTAATTTTTTTTTTTACATATTACTTATTCTTGAAGAATATCCGTGTATTACCTGACGAGCTAATGCTATACGCCTTCGTTCAAAAGAAAAAGTGGTCCCATAGATAACTGCCTAACGAACTAAAATTTCTAATATTTTAAATATACAAATTGTATTTGGCTTTTATTTATGATGCAATAGTGTTTTTACTTTTCATTGTTATGCCTATTACTTATTATTCAAACTAGACAGTAACTTGCACAAAATGTGCAAAAATGTATAAGAAATAAGCAAATATAGTTATAATATAGAACAATATTTTCTTTATTTACTATCCAAATATAGTATTCATGAACTAAATATTCTCATTTTTTTAAATAGTATACAAATTGCACCTGGCTTTTATATGATACAGTAGCACTTTCACATTTCAATCCTTATTTATTATACAATATTAGATAGTTACTGCACAAAACATACAGAAATTTTCGGGGGGGGGGGAGTTTTATTATATTAAAAATAATATTCTACTCACTTTTGTAGCAGAATCGTTGATGAATACAACTGTCGCATTGAATCACAAACAATGCTTTCAAATTTTCTAAACAGAAGTGCTAATTCTATTCAGTCGATCAAACAAGGCATGGCAGAACAAAACTGAAACGGGAATTATTCTTCACGTCATTATAATAGAAAGTCCATTATAATATAATAAGTTTTACGCTTCCTACAGGTGTATTTTGAAAGATTGTCGTGACTGAAAGCCACCCCTTACACTACTATCTCTCTGTCTATCTCTGAAAATACTGTGAGATGTGTAGGCGGACTTAAATGATCAAAAGACGTAATTGCAAATCAAATAGATTTATTGATTCTAATCAACACCAATGTTATGAAACACACAATTCAATTAAGAAAAACAAATAAGAGTGGAGTACGAAAAGGGGAATTACTACTAGCGGAATATTCAGAACGTCAACCGAATCTAGGAAGCTTAAACGCTCACAATTACGCCTATGCCATGCATGAATAATTTCAATATCTCGAATAAACTCACTGACCTTATATTTTACATCGGCTGCTCCTTCGAGATGACTTCGACTTTTTACTGGCTGGGAGAATGGGGGGAAATCCACGCTCTCTATAATAAGGATTTTCACAATCTTCAATCCGCTTCCCTTCGCGTACCTCCACTCGTAACCGCTATCTACGATTGTCAACAACTTGTGCTGACGTCCTGAACTTTAATTCACTTGACTTCCCTCTTCTATTACTTCACTTTACTTAACTCCTTTAACTCGCTAAACCCGAACTTATATAATTTATCTTATTTGCATAAATCAAGCCTGGCTCTCGGTGAAGATTGGTTGAAATAAATAAATTATCTTATAGAAAATAGAGGAGGTTAATCAAAAGACCGTATAGATCCGTCACAAGATCACGTAGGGAAGTTGTAATAACCCCCTTTCCCGTCTACCCTGTGAGCCAGCTAAAGGTGTGGAAGGAAGTGAAAGATTATTCGACACGATAATTTCCAATATTTTTATTTAGCACTTTAATCGACTCAAACATATTTCAATGCAACATTATAAATAGTATGTTCCAATCAGTTAAGAGAGGGAGGGGACGAGAGTCGCGTTTTGGGAAAATACATCTAATAAACCACTTTATAATAATAGTTCTCCTACCTCAATATTACTTTACACGCCAGATATGTAACTATTGGCCGCTTAACCTCTTTAATACTTTAAATATCAAACGCAATATGAAGGTGGCAATAGTGAACTGTTCTAATCAATTAAAGTTTAATTTATCAATATCAACTTCCTGTCTTTAATCTCTCACAAGGCCTTTCCAACCTTTTGCGGTATTCTTCACCTTGCACCTCTCTTGTCACCTTTAGTTAACTAACCTTCTAAACTTCTAACTTTCTATTATCTATCCTTCTCCACTTTCTAACCCCTAGTAAGTGAACGTGAACTATATATAATAAACTTAATTTGCATATCACGTCTTCTTAGGGGAAGATTGATGATCTTTGATAGCCCCAAAGAATTCCCAAGAGGATTATTGTGAGGACGCGTTTTGATCCGTTACACAGTAATCTTCCCGAGGCCCACGAAAGAGTTAAATGATGATTGTTTTTAGCGTCGCTCTAGTATGCTACGGGCGAAGGTTTCGTAATTTTGAACCACGGTCAAGTGATGCAGACGTGACTCCTGAAATGATATTCTACTCTCCACACCTTTACCCAGCTTCAACGTGAGAACTTTCAATATAAATAGAATTAACGTGCATCATGTCCTTCTCAGAGGGTATACAGTAGGCCGCTCGCACTTTTTGGAAACGATTTTGGTAGTTAATTTTTTATCTAGAAATCCCGTATTTTTTGTGGCGATTTGCTTTTGTCAGATAACCATGATTCTTGACAACAGCTCTTGCTCGAATTTTCCATGAAAATAAACTTATTCTTAGTACTGTCACAAAATTTTCCCTTCCTGTTGAATCGTTTTCCAAAGTTCGCTTAGGGTTCTTGAATGCCGTTTTCTTAAGACTAATTTTAATAAACAAAAAGCATAAAAGTGCAATAAAAAAAGCATTCAAGTAATTTTATAAATATTTCATCAAATGGGATACAAATTATCCCTGTTTTTGTTTCTGTTTTTGCTATATAAGTGATAGGTGGATGACTATAGGGCTTTGTCCATATGAAGCTAAACTTTATCAATGTCCTTTTCATGCAAGACTAGAATTTCTTCTTCAAAAATTGGTTCCAAAATATTTTGCTGATAGTAGAGTGAATTAATTTTTGCTTCACTTTTTTGATTTTTAATTTGCCTTTGTTAAAAAATCCTGCAGCTATCAAGAATCCCTTTGGGAACTTTTCTGTACACTGACGAAGCCATTCCATACAGTCATTCCCGTGAGTTGAGCAATTGAAAATTGCTCTTCTTTTATTTAAATATACCCATACCTCCATCCAGTGGTACCACAAATTTCCATTTTTCAGCAGCTGGGTGTGTTTCCTATAAATGTGCGTAATTTTTTTTTTCTTTGAGCAATATGTTTTGGCAAAAGCAGATGAACTTTAGGTGTAAACACCTTTTAGAAGTGATAACTTATTTAAGTGCGTTTTGCTGAAGAGTGAATCTAAATTAAGCGTCAGGTTCAACTTCATTACACTCAGTAGGTTTTTCTCAATTACCGTCGGCAAACGGGCTCGGCGACGATTGCTTAGTTTTGAATTAAAAACTTTTTAGGTACGTGTTTTTTTAAGACAAAAAATTTCATGCGCCCTTTTTTCCGTGAAGCTTTATTTACTTTATTTTAATATTATTGCCATGCAGCCCACTTCCACTCAACTCTTGCGACTAAACGAGAGAAGAGGAGCACAGGTGAAAATAATTGGAAGAAAAAAATTACTCTTATGTAGGGTGCTCGAAGATAAAAAGAAACGAAACATATCTATTTTTTGATTCAGTAGAAAGAACAGTTAAGCACAAAAATGTGCCAAAGAAATTAAAATCGGAAATTTTAAGAAAGATAATTGTCGAAAAAATTGTTAATATTTTTTTTTTTTGTTTTTGCTCTAGTGATAACAACTAAGAGATTGCGAGATTTTTTCACAATTAAAAGCAGTAATTGTGAAAAAATACGAACCGCTCCTTTTGTTTGCTTAGAGAATTTTATGAAAAGTAAATGGCTCTCAGGGCATAAGTTTTCCTAGCCTTACATGGTATACGCGCACGCGTTATATAAGTTACATAAACTTTACTTACGTATTATCGTAATGGTATTGGCGACGTTATATGAAAGGAATCACATGGTGGTCAATTCAGCGCGTTCCACACTTGGAAAATCAGGGTTGCCAACTTGGCGAGTTATCTTGAACTTTTCCATTTTTGCTGTAGTAACGTGTAAGTACCATATAAACATATGTATTATACAAACTTAAACTGCAAAAGTAATTTAGATATAAATATTTTTAAATAATTAGACTAGCTGACACTTAAACCGTATGTACTCATATATGAATATATAAGAATGCATAATTATTTAAACATTGCACCTTACAGAAAATGTTTAAAATACACAAATTCAATGATGAAAGTACACAAAAAAAGAGAACTACTTAACGCCTGCATGCAATATAGTCATAAGAAAAAACGTAGTATATCCGAACAATTGAATTCTCTTGCCCGGAATAAATCCGAAGTTTTCACTTCTATTGTGTGGTCATAAGCACGCATACATTTTTTTAAAAACTTTAAATCTTTATCAATGATTTTTTTTGCTTATAGTGCAAGAATAAACACATTCCCCTAGTTTCTATGCAGTGAATCTTTGAGTTGGCGGATTTTCTTTTTACATCAGATAGGTTTTCTTGATAGATGCCTGCCTTCGAACAGTCGTAGGATGAGATTTCGTATTCATGTTTTCCTTTTTTACTTTTAGCTTAACGGGGTTTTTTTTTCAAATTTAACATATTATTACCTCTTTTTGAAATGTAATAGCCAAGATTTTTACACCGCTTTATTATTTGTTGAAACAAATATGTTTCTTCGGAAAGCACAATTACTTAATCTTTGAGCCACAATTCAATTTTAGGAGAGCCATTTTCAAAATAAATCTGTTATTTTATTTTTCAATTAAAAGAAAACACCAACAGATGATTATTCTGAAGTTTCCAAAGTTTTATCTCTTCTAATGTAAACGAGAAAATAAATTACAAAATCGTTTCCATAA